AACCGTAAACATTCTAGAAGAAAGCACAGGCAGTAAAATCTTGGACATTCTCATAGTAATATTTTTTCTGATATATCTCCTTGAGCAAGGCAAACAAAAGAAAAAATAAAAATAAAAAAATAAACAAATGGAACTACACCAAACTAAAAAGTCTTTGCATAGCAAAGGAAACCATCAACACAATGAAAAGACAACCCACTGAATGGGAGAACATATTTGCCAATACATAGGGCTTAATATCCAAAATTTATAAGGAACTTATACAACTCAACACCACCCCCCCCCCAAACAATTCAATTAAAATACTGGCAGAGGACCTGAATAGATATTTCTCCAAAGAGGGCATACAGATGGTCAATAGACATATGAAAAGATGCTGAATATCATTGATCATCAGAAAAATGCAAACCACAATGGGATATCACCTGTCAGAATGGCTAGCATCAATAAATCAACAAACAAGTATTGTCCAGGGTGTGAAGTAAGGCAATGCTCGTGCACTGCTGGTGGGAATGCAGACTGGTGCAGCCACTGTGGAAAGCAGCATGGAGTTTCCTCAAGAAAATTAAAATTGGAGCTGCCTTTTGACCCAGCAATTCCACTTCTGGGACTATCTCCAAATAAACCTGAAACACCAATTCAAAAGGATATGCACCCCTATGCTCACTGCAGTGCTATTTACAATAGCCAAGATTTGGAAGCAGCCCAAGTGCCCGTCAGTACATGAGTGGATAAGAAAGCTGGGGTGCGTTTACACCATGGAATACAACGTGGCCAGAAAAAAGAAGGAACTCTTACCTTTGTGACAGCATGGATGGACCTAGAGAGCATTATGCTAAGTGAAATAAGCCAGTCAGGGGAAAAAAAGGACCGTATGATTTCACTTATATGTGGAATTCAATAAACAAAGTAAACTACCAAATAAAGTGGACACAGATGCATGGATACAGGGAACAGACTGGGCTCTGTCAGAGGGAGGGGGCTGGGGACAGGTTGAGAAGGGTGAAGGGATTAAGCAAAAAAAAAGACTTGTGGACACAGATAACAGTATGGTGACTGACAGAGGAAAAGGAGGGTTGGGGGAGGTAGAAGAGGGTAAAGCAGGATAAATGGTGATGGAAGGAGACGACTTGGGGTGGTGAACACACAGTACAATATACAGATGATGTGTTGTAGAGCTGTATATCTGAAATCTGTATAATTTTATTAACCAAAGTCACTCCAATAATTTCAATAAAAACAAATAAATCTCCCTTCCCCATTAGTCCCTCTTACAGTTGAGGAAGTTGAGTCTCTCTGGAGGGGATGGACAGAAGGTAGGAAGTCCTCTTCTAATTTGCTGGGTAAGTAAAGCCAAGAATTCTCTTTGTGGTGGAGTTAGATATATATAACCTAACGATGTCTCCTCCCCTACCGCTGCAGTATGTGTGTCTAAGTGTGTGGAGCCACAGGCCTTCCTGAATGTGTGACAACGGGAACCCATCCCTCCAGGAGACACTTGCAGAATGACCACCGGGACGGATGGGGGGTGGGTGGGTGGATGAGTACCAGTCTCTGCAGAGGTCTGGGCGGAACCCATGGAGCCCACCCTATCCACCCCCCATTCCCAGCCCCCGTTGGCCCTTCCGCTCTCCTTCTCCCGCGTAGCACTCTCAGTGCACATCTCCTTAACGCCACCCAGGGCCGAGGACGGATGAGGGGCGAGGCTGGAGTCGGAAGACCGCAGGGTGCAGTCCCAGCGCTGCAGAGCTGCGGCTGAGCTAGCTTCCCCGCGAGGCCCGCAGCCGCTGGGTGCCAATATGTAAAGCAGCGGGAGGGCGGGGCCTGCGCGCAATGCAAACGAGGGGGCGTGCCGGCCCTGGGCTCCGCCCCCACCCCCCGCAGCTGGGACCAGCGGTGCCGAGCGCAGCT